TGGCACGCACACTCAGACTTCACACTTGGAGTCCCCAATGAGAGTCAGGGGTCACAACCAACCAAGTCCTCAGGTTTAAAAGAGAAAATAGGTAGTACGTCCACTAAAAGTGCCTGTTTTTGCCACTATCTGGGTAAGTGTCTAACTGTCTGTTAACATTGTGGAAAAAATGTCTACAAAGATAGGCGTTTTGTTTAACCAGAAACAGCCATAATATTGCTCACCACCAGACTCCGTAGACAAAAAATCATCAACAATTTTGCACAAAAAATGGTGCAAGTGGTGCACATAAAATAACCTACTGCTCACCGTCAGCAAAACCAAGGAGCTGATTCATTTTAGCAAAAAGGAGGAAAAGACTAACTCCCCTGTTTACATCATTGGAGCTGAGGTGGAGAAGGTGAACAGTTTTAGGTTTCTGGGAATTACAACACATGTCACCTTGGTTACGAAAGCACAAAAACAAACTCATCACCAACTGGCAGATCCTAGGATAGGAGGACTCTGCAGCAGGTATCTAAAACCAGTGCCTGCACAGAGCACACATGATGCTAAAGGACAGCACCCTCCCACAGGCAGCAGGGTGAATGGGCTGTGGCTGGGGGAGGGGGCTGTCCTTTAGCATCCTGAGGTTTCCGCCGTCGTACCACCAGACTTAAAGACAGATTCTTCCCTCAGGCTGTGAGATTGTTAAATTCTTCCTCAACAATTCATTAAACCACAGATTCGTATCTCACTCAGGATAAATATTAAAAGCTTTGGTTAGTCTGATTTTTCTTCTAGCGCCATCATCAGGTCACATTTTTAATTTGTGCTAATTACCAAATGTTATAGTACTAAAATAATAATTCCAGATGGTGAACATGCAACATTACCTGCCAAACATCAGCAGGTTAGCCTGCTGATGTTTGTTTAGTCATTACATCATTGGATTATGGCAGCCATTACAATTGCTCCAACACTTTTTATACAGCTGTAATTGTGCTATCAGTTAGCTTCTTAATCCAATGGAAAATAAACAGTGAAAGTTGTTAGACCAAATCTAACTGAGCAGCTTAAATTTAATATGCTTTTGTTTTGATTTTGGACAGAGATATGTGGATATTTAAATATGCGGTTTGGTTGTTGTGTGTAACCCTGTGTTATCTGTACATAAAAATATGTTAGGCTGTTAAAATAAATTTAATTATTTAATGAAATTAATGTTTTTCTTTTACAAAAATGAATACCTGGAATTACAAATTTGTGCACAGAAATTAGTCAGATGTTTGGTGCACCCATCCAATCCTACATCAAACGATCCACGATTGATAGAAATAAAAAGATCAGGGTTATTAAATACATTTTCTTTCTGAAAGAGATTTAAATCTACCTAATTCTAGCTCAGCGGGACTGACTAACTACTAGCACGTGGCACAGGGATAACAGTAGTTCCGGTGTGATTGAAAGTATTTGAAGAATTGTTAAGAGTTATCTACAATCTGACATGAATGCTATAATGACAGGGACGCTTTGTATTTTTACTACCACGAGACTCACGCAAGACACAAGTGCTCTCTGCTGAGGGAGCTGAATGACAGCCACTATTGGCATTTCTCGAATATTATACAGAAAAACAACAACAAACAAACTATAATCCCTGTAATCCCACCGGTCCATCACAAATGTATCTGCAGAGATTGGAACTAAAGTTGGAGGACTGCAAAGAGAAACTGGATAAAAAAAAGTGAGAGTTTCAAATACAGAGTCAAATACATTGCTACAAAAAATATTCAATATTTAAAAAATTAATTCCAGTTTAATACAACTTTGGTCTTATTTTTGTAGTTGATTGTATTGGTTTTGGTAGCATCGTACTCACCTAATTGCTGCTCTCTGAAAAGAGGGATTCATTCATTATAATGGTGTTAGCCAATGTGAACTCTTATACATCTAATGGTGGATTAGTTAAGTTTTCAAGTATAATGATTTGACTTTCTCTTCAAGCAAATGTATTGACAATTTATTTTTAAAATAACATCTGTGTAAAGAAAGGGTTGCGATCTTTTTTGCGTCTTTTTTGATGACAGACTAGAAAGAGCGGTAGGTTCAATTTTCAATTTCCAATTCTAATTGTATAGCGCCAATTCATAATAAAAATGTGCTCCCATGTTAAATGTTAAATGTTAAAACTGCTCAGGTAAGGTTTCCACCCTGAGCTGCGGCAGATGAATGTACACCTGTGAAGTTTAAAGTGGCTCAGCGTGTGAACCTGAGGTTTGGCTTGGGGCCTTGTTGATTTAAGTGGAACCTGTAATTCTAACTGCTGAGATTAAGCAATGAGGGATGGGAGGAGTTCAATGAAAAAAATGAGATGAGACTTGTTGGCATGTATGAACAAGGTAAGAGGTTCTTGCGGCTTAAAGTGGAAATTATCAATCCAGAATTGTGACATACATTTATGGGCTTCTTCTAAAAACAACACTACACCTGCATGAATCAGCTCCTGTTTTTAGGAGTACATTAGATTCATTTTTGTTTTATTTGGTTGATAATTAAATTGAAACACTGGGGTAAAAAAGAATCCAAGCAGACTGGGTCTAAATTTCTCTCTCAGGAAGCTGTAACGGTATCTGTGCATTAGGGAACATCCTCAAAACATCCTATGAATGTAAAGTAAAGTAAGTAAAAAATGTTATGTCTTAGTTCACATTGAGTCTTATAAAAACATTATTTGAAATAATCAACATCTTTAAAATGTTTTTTGAACATTATATTAAAATGTTTTATTTAAACCATATTGGGAATGTTAGCTAATGGTGTGGGAACGTTCCCTGCTAGCTGGGCAGTGTAGGATTCAGTGGCATACAGCGGTGAAGTTTCAAAAGGGTATTTGACGACCTGGGAATGAGACTCAATAATCAACTATCTTCCTCCAGAATGACTGACAGCAACTTTAAAGAATAAGTGAAGTGTAATTTTATATTTTTCTTATTTTCAACAAATCCCATGAAAACCCCCAATTAAAACTATGTGTCAATGTTTGTCTCAATACTCTGTGACTTCTCTACTCTGTCTGCCTCTCTCAGCCCTGAGCCCACTGGATCAGACCTTAGAAAGATAGTTCTTTTTTTAAAGGCTCATTAATTTCCTAAAACAGCTACTCACTGTAGTTTTTATGGTATGTTTCTCAAACAGGAGGAAATAGTACATATGTTGGGACTATTTTTAGCAGTGGATTAATCCGCATTTCGTGCTCTAGTGGGTATATGGGGCAGCAGGATACTGTATGTGGGAATGACAAAATATAAACTACAGTGTGTGTTTATGGTAATGAAAGAACACGTGACCTAGTGCAACAGCGTGGCTCACTGAGGTGTTTTTAATGTTTTTGGAACGACAATGACACGACTGTGTGTATGACTGTGGCACAGAGGAAGATTGATATGCACACAATACTTAGGACTCTGCTGTCACTGCAGAGTTCATGGCTTCTCTTTTGACGTCCTAGTTCAAATTCCCTAAAACCATAACAACATTCCTGCAGTTCTTTCACCTTTCTGAAGAAGAGGCTGTCTCTGCTGATGGAGGACACTGATGCAGGCGTGAGTGACACTTCTTATCAAACTTTACAGCAGGAAGAGGAGGAGGCAGCACATAAAGTGTCCCTCAACCTAACCCCAGCCCCACCGCCACCCCCAGCCAGTTACATTTAATCACAGCCTTCTCCTGAAGCTTTGTGTTCTTTCCTCAAAGGCGTCGCCATACCTGCATCCTTTCTCTATTGTCACTGTGAAAGGCGCAGTAAATGGAATATGCTTTTGTGGTGTCCTCAAAAGGTTGAGTAAACATTTCTCAGAGGCCAGCAAATAATGCGTAAAGGATACCGCAGCAGTTATTTGATACTTTTATTACAATCAATAAAAATTTCCCTGAAAAGACAAATTCATCTGACTTGCCATAAACGAATGACACGGATGCTTTAGGTGTCATATTCCTTCATTACAACAAACTTGGCCATGACGTTTGAAACCTTTTCTTTGCATGTTTAGCCATGACAGCCAATAAACAAAGTGCTGCTGTTGCTGTTAGAAATATAAAATGACTCACAGGGAGTGAGTTATTTTAATCACAGGATATTTCCCAAGAGAGACCGTCCAGACACCAAAACACATTACAACACACACACTAATTAACAATTTGAGCTGTAAAGGTACTGTTGCTTGATGAATGACAGTAAAAAATGTTTCATCATCACAACTTGTGAATTCTACTTATTTAATCGAGATCTACATCAATGGGTCTGAAACTTAAACTCTTGCGATTATTGTGTAAGTTAGCATCTGCAGTATTAACATTAGCTTACTGACGGTAATTAACAGAAAGCAAATTGGACGGTGCTGTTTGAGTGACAGAATGACTGCTGCCAAACAAAAGTTGGGTTTCCATCCAAATATTTCATGAGTTCTAACCAAATTTGTAAAGGAAAATACAAATCAATGCTTGTTTCAATATGATTATTAGGAGTTGGTTCGGCAAGATAGCAGCAGGTGGCACCAACCCTTACATATGGGTGTGATTACGCCATGGCAGAAGAAGAGGATACCACAAGATGACGAAACCTTAAACAGTGAAAAACTGATGGTAACTTCATAGTGCTCATTGTTGCTGTACATCTGTTTGTC